TACATTCTCACCAGCAGTGCACAGGGTTCCTTTTTCTCTACATCTTCTCAAACACTTGTTATTTTTCATCTTTTTGATGAAAGCCATTCTAACAGGTATGAGGTGATAGCTCATTGTAGTTTTAATTTGCATTTTCCTGGTGATTAGTGATGACAAACATTCTTATATCTGTTGGCCATTTGTATGTCTTTTGAACAATGTTGGTTCAGGTTCTTTGCCCATATTTAAATTGACTTCTTTGTTTTCTTGCTATTCAGTTGAATTCTTTATATATTTTGAATATTAATCCTGTGTAAGATGCATGATTTCCAAAGATTTTCACCCATTCTGGGATAGCTCTCCAATCTGTCGTTTCCTTTGCTGTACAGAGGCCTTTCGGTTTGATGCAATTCGATTTGTTTATTTTTGCTTTTGTTGCCTATGCTTTTGGGGTCAAGTTCAAGAAGTCTTTGCCAGGTCAATGTCATGGAGCTTCTTTTCCCAATGTTTTCTTCTAGTGGTTTTGTAGTTTCAGGCCAGACACTTAAGTCTTGAATACAGCTTGAGCTGATTTTTGTGTAAGCTGTGAGATAAGGATCTAATTTCATTCTCCTACATGTGGATATTCAATTTTCCCAGTACTGTTTTTTGAACATTTTTTCTTTCTCCATTGTATTTTCTTGGTGCTTTTGTTGAAAGTCGATTGAAAGCAAATGCATGTGTTTATTTCTGGGCTCTTTATACTGTTTCATTGATTTATGTGTTAGCTTTTGTGCCAGTACCATGCCATTTGATTAGGTTTGTAGTATATTTTAGAGTCAGGTATGTACTCCACCTTTGTTCTGTTTGCTCAAAATTGCTTTGGCTCTTTGGGGTCTTTTGCAGTGCCATACAAACTTTAGGATTTTTTTTTTCTGTTTCCTTGAAATGACATTGGAATTTTGATAGTAATTACATTGCATCTGTGGATTGCTTTGGGTACTATGGACATTTTAATGTTAATTCATTTAATCCAAGAACGTAGGATACCTTTCCATTTATTTGTCTTTTTATACTATTTTTTCATCAGTGTTCTATAGTTTTCAGTATATAGTTCTTTCACCTCTTTGGTTAAATTTACTCTTAAGTGTCTTTTTAAAATTTGAGCTAGTGTGAATGGGATTGATTCCTTAATATCTTTTTCAGATAGTTCATTGTTAGTATAAAGAAATGCTGCTGATTTTTACATGTTGATTTTTGTGTCCTCCAACTTTACTTAATTCATACATCAGTTCCGACAGTTTTTTGGTGGAGTCATTAGGGTTTCTGTATACAAGATCATGCCATGTACCATCAGGGACAATGTCTTTGTTTCCAGCTTGGATGTTGTTTCTTTCTCTTGCCTAATTGCTCTGTCTAGGACTTCCAGTATTATACAGAATACAGGTGGCAAGAGTATGCATCCTTGGCTTGTTCTGAATCTAAGAGGAAAAGCTTTCAGTTTTTTCCCGTTGTGTATAATGTTAGCTGTGGGCTTTTCATATATGGCTTGCGTTAAGGTACATTGCTTCTGTGTTTAATTTGTCAAGAGTTTTTATCATGAAAAGATGTTGAATTTTGTCAGTGCCTTTTCTGCATATATTGAGGTGAGCATTTGGTTTTGCCCTTCATTCTGCTAACATGGTGTATCACATTTGTAGATTTGCATATGTTGAACCATCTTTTGATCCTAGGGATAAACCCCACTTAATTTTGGTGTATGATCTCTTTAATGTGGTGTTGAATTCAGTTTGCTAATATTTTATTAGAATGTTTGCATCTTTGTTCATCAGGGATATTGGCCTGTAATTTATTTTTCCTTGTTACAGTAGTAATTTTGTCTGGCTTTGGTATCAGTGTAGTGCTAGTATCATAAAATGAGTTTGGAAGTGTTTTCTCTTCTTCAGTTTTTTGGAAGACTTTGAGAAGTATTGGTATTAGTTCTTCTTTAAACTAGAATTCTGCTGTGAAGCCATCTGGTTCTGGGCTTTTGTTGATGGAAAATTATTATTATTATTATTATTTGAGACAGAGTCTCTCTCTCTCACCCAGACTGGAGTACAGTGGCAAGATCTTGGCCCATTGTAACCTCCGCCTTCCAGGTTCCAGTGATTCTCCTGCCTTGGCCTCCCTGAGTAGCAGGGATTGCAGGCCCGTGCCACCATGCTTGGCTAATTTTTTTTTTGTATTTTAGGTAGAGGCGGGGTTTTGCAACCTTGCTAGGCTGGCCTTGAACTCTTGACCTCAGGCGAGGTCTACCTGCCTTGGCCTCCCAAAGTGCTGGGATTATAGGCATGAGGCACCATGCCTGACCAGTTTTTAAAATTATTTATTCAATCTCCTTATTTGTTGTCAGTCTGTTCAGATTTTCTACTTCTTCTTGATTCAGTCTTCGTAGGCTGTATGTTTCTAGGAATTTATCCATTTTTTTCAAGGTTATCAAATTTGTATATGTAAGATATAATTGTTATGATCCATTTTATTCTGTGATATTGAACCTTTGTTTATAGATGAGGGACTTGGCAAGTCCTAAGTTGCTGAGGGGTCTCCTAATTGACTCACTCAAATGATTTGAAAATAAGATATTGTGTCCGTAAAGAATGTATTTCTGATAGATGGTAGGGTTGAAGGCCTGAGGTTGTTGAACAAATTGAGATATAATTCATATAGCATATAATTCACTCTTTCACCACATACAATTCAGTGGGTTTTAATATAGTTATGAGCTGTTACAACTATCACTGTCTAAGTTCAGAACATTTCATTATCTCAAGAAGAAACCTGCCCATTAGCAATCATTCCCAGTTCCTGCCTCCCCCTAGCCTCTGACAACCACTGATCTACTTTGTGTCTCTTTGCATTTGCCTATTCTGGACATTTCATATGAACAGATTCATATAATATATGGCCCTTTGTGAGTGGATTCTTTCACTTAGTGTAGTGTTTTCAAAGTTCACCCATGTTACAGCATGAACCAACACTTATTTCTTTTTATGTCTGAATATTATTCCATTTTATGGATATACCATATTTGGTTTATATATTCATCAGTTGATAGACATTTGGATTTTTTTCTGCTTTTTTGGCAATTATGAATAATGCTGCTATGAATGTTTTTATACAAGTTTTTGCATGGACATTTTTCTCTTGGGTGTGTACCTAGGAGAACTGCAGGGTCATATGATACCTCTTTGTTTAGCTCTTTGAGAAACTGCTTTTCCAGAGAGCTAAACAAACTAGTTTACATTCCCACCAGCAATATATGAGGGTTCCAATTTTTTCACATCCTCATCAGCACTTGTTATTGTGTCTTTTTGTTATAGCCATGCTAGTGATCAGGAATTGGAACCTCATTATAGTTTTGATTTGCATGTCCCTAATGACTCATGATGTTGAGCATGGACCTGCATTTTTTAACTGAAAATTTTCAGTGTGATCCTCAGATTCTGTGCTTAGTGCTGGGAATACAGCTGGGAACAAGGCAGCCCCAGTTGCTGTCTTCTTGGAGTTTAGAGTTCATGTGGGAAGGTAGATAGGAACAAAGTAATTGCAATTAGGACTTTTATAAGGAATTATACAACACATAGTCCCTTAGTAAACTTTAAAATTTTCTATTTTAGTGATGTAAACCTTTTTTATGATTGTTAGAGGCCAAAATTCATGCAGTGGGTATTTAAAGATATCATAAATTGCATTTTTGCGTGTGCTTCGAAAAATAATTCAAGGCTGGGTACAGTGGCTCACGCCTGTAATGCCGGCACTGTGGGAGGATGAGGCAGGCAAATCACTGAGGTCAGGAGATCAAGACCATCCTGGCCAACATGGTGAAACCCCGTCTCTACTAAAATACAAAAAAGCAGCTGGGCGTGGTGGCATGCGCCTGTAGTCCCAGCTACTCAGGAGGCTGAGGCAGGGGAATTGCTTAATCCCAGGGAGGTGAAGGTTTCAGTGAGCTGAGATCACACCACTACACTCCAGCCTCGTAACAGAGCAAGACTCTGTAAAAAAAAAAAAAAAAAAAAAAAAAAATTAAAAGAAACAAAAGCATATGAGAATAAGAAATGTGTTTAAAGAAAGAAGTGGGGCTGGGCACGATGGCTTGTAATCCCAGCACTTTGGAAGGCTGAGGTGGGAGGATCACTTGAGCCTAGGAGTTGGAGACCAACTTAGGCAACACAGTAAGACCCCATAACTTAAAAAAAATTAGCTGGGCTGGGCGTGGTGGTTCACACCTGTAACCTTAGCACTTTGGGAGGCCGTTGTGGGCGGATCATCTGTGGTCAGGAGTTTAAAACCAGTCTGGCCAGCTTGGTGAAACTGTCTCTGCTAAAAATACAAAAATTAGCCAGGCATGGTGGTAGGCACTCGTAATCCCAGCTATTTGCAGGCTGAGGCAGGAGAATCACTTGGACCTGGGAGGTGGAAGTTGCAGTGAGTCATCATCGTGCCACTGCACTTCAGCCTGGTGACAGAGTGAGACTCCATCTCAAAAAACAAAGAAACAATTTAGCTAGGCCTGGTAGCACACGCCTGTACTCCAGGTCTTTGAGAGACTGAGGTGGGGGGATCACTTGAGTCTGGGAATTCAGCGCTATAGTGAGCCATGATTATGCCACTGCACTCTAGCCTGGGTGACAGAGTGAGACCCTGTCTCAAAAAAAAAAAAAAAAAAAAAAAAAAGAAAAGTGGAATATTCTCCCCGTGTCTACATTCCAGCCATTAGCAGCTTAGTGACTTATTCCAGACCTGTTTCCAGTGCAGGTACAGATTTATATCAGGTAGAGGTTTGGTTAAGGAGATTACCTAAATAATTTTCAGTTCTTTTGTGACTCGTGATTCACCTTCATTGGGGTATAGAGAGATTTTTCCCAATTTTATAGTAATTACTCTGGTGAAGATTTACCGTTGATTGCTTATGCTTACTGAGTGCTAGGAACTTTACCCCTACACAGGTACACCTTGGCTGTGATGCATGACTTTCTGTGTTTCACCTTTTACTGCAGATGGTCTTCATCCCTGCAGGAGTATTTACAATGGGCACAGATGATCCTCAGATAAAGCAGGATGGGGAAGCACCTGCGAGGAGAGTTACTATTGATGCCTTTTACATGGATACCTATGAAGTCAGTAATGCTGAATTTGAGAAGTTTGTGAACTCAACTGGCTATTTGACAGAGGTAATGGGATTGGGGAAAGGAGGGGGAACTTGTTCTTTTCCAGAACTTTTTAAGAATGCTTTAATAGCAGCTAGGATTGATGGACCACTGACCACTTTTACTATTCTGTGGTAGAACCAGGCAAAGGATTTTATTGTATATATTTCATCTTAATTTCTCACAGCAACCCCATGAGGCAGGTTATTTTTCAGGTGGCATACTGAAGATTAGAAAAGCAATTTGCCCTACATCACAAAGCTAGTTGGTGGTAGTAGCTGGGATTCCAGCCTGGCCAGCGTGACCTCAGAACCTGTGTTCATAACTATTATGCTCTATTTGTGTTAACGCTTTAATATCTTAGAGAATACCACTGTCCACTAAGGCTTTTTGAGATACAGATGGCATGTAAATTAAGGCCACTTTTCTTCTCAATAAATTGCACTTTGGCTTTTCCAGAAGCATTACATATTTTTTAAGTGATAAGTGCAGAAGTGCTGCTTTTCATTTTTGTGGCTTCCTTCCAACACCTTGACAGCTCATGCATGCTGTGCTGTGGCAGTTCTGGGCATTATCCGATAGGCACTGAATCACAAAGCAAGCTTCTGAAAGTGGATGCTGTCTTAAATGGGAATAGGAAGAGGAAGCCTTTCTAGTCTATGAATGTTTCTGTGAGTTTCTGAAATAAACTTGTTTTGTAGGCTTTCCAGTTTTCTCTCAAAGAAAACCTTTACCCTTGTCTTCAGTTCGTGGAGTCCCTGTTCCTTTTTTTTTTTTTTTGCACCCCAGTCATCTTTTTGTAAATTATTATTAAATGAATAATTTGTAGTAAGCAGAAGTCCTTTTCCTTTTGATTTCACAAGGAGACTCTCAGCTCAAGTTCCTCAATAGTTTACTTAAGTTAGAAGACTTCTAAAGAACCAGGGTTCTCCATGAAGATTAGATAGAATAAGCAGAAATTAGGGCATCGAAAAACATGGATGGGGAAAAGTCATAAGTTAGTACAAAAGTAATTGTGGTTTTTGTCATTACTGTTAATGGCAAAAACCACAATTACTTTTGCACCAACCTCATATATCTGTTTATTTACTACCCGCAAACCAAAATGTAGTATTTCCTTCAATTATGATGCAAACAATGAACCACAGCAGTAGTAGCAGTGCCTCCGACTTTGTCACCAGTAGAAATCACAGACGTGTTTAATCGTATTTTTGTTGTTGCAGAGATCTCGAAATATTGTTTACTTTCATCCCTACCTTTGAAATATGATACTATGAGACCTGCCACTAGATCTTATTTAATATATTAATGAAGAACATTTTTAGTACCATAGCACTAATTTGTTTATTTCACTTTTTGATGTAATGACTTTTCTTCACAATACTATTGATTTTATTTTATATGTTTAAACGTTTAATTCTGAGAAGGGGGTTCTTGAGCTTCACCATGCAGCCAAAGAGCTCAAAAAGGACCAAGAGCTGCCTTGGACAAAACGCTCTGTGTTTTCCTGCCACTCTGTAGACCCCTTTTCCATCTCGCCAGCTTCACTTTACATCATGCTCCTCTTGCACGCCATCTTCTAGCCCTGCTGGTTTTGTTTCTCTTCCTTGAAAATGCAACATTCTTTCCCACCTCAAGAGCTTGGCCAGTATTTTCTTTCTGTTTGGAATTCACAGTCCTCGTGCTTATCCCTCTTGTGCATGGCTGGCTCCTTCTCATTCTTGAGTCATCTCAGCTTAAGTGTCACTTTCTCAAGGATGTTTTTTATGACACTCTTTACCTTACAAGGTGAAGTAAAGTTGTAATTATTTTTTCCTGTTCTTTGCTTGGCCTGGTTTTTTTCTGTGCTCCCACACTTAAGCACAATGAGGATAGGGGCCATGGCTATCTGACATTGACCTTATTATATCCTCTAATTTAGCCCCAAACTGGTCACCTGGTAGGTTTTGATGCCTGCTTGTTGAATGAATAAATAGCTTAGGTAGTGAGGCATAGCTGTGTCACAAGGGAATGCAGGAAGATTAGGGGTGAAGAAAAGATGGTAGGCTCCACCCAGGAAAAGGAATTGGAGGTGCTTATAAGAGCTGTAATATAAGGATCCAGTACTCAGTTAATTTCCTGTAGTAAGAACAGGACAAAACTGGTGGCAGAGATTTGAGACTCATTTGGCGTATTGGCTATAGTTAATTTGATGAGACTGAAAGAAGTTGTCCATCAACAAGAATCAGTCAGTGTATGTCAAAGTATGTTCCTTGAACTGCTTGTATTAGAACAACTATCTATGTGCTATTTATACATACAGATTCCTGTACCTCACACTAGACCCTCAGAATTAGAATCTCTGGGGTTAGGGAGCAGCAGTATGTAGTTTTGACAAGCTGATTACATAATCTCAGCTACACAAAGCCTGAGAGCCACTGGTGTAGCAGAAGTGCAGAGAGCCAAGGGCAGAGCTCCAGGGAGCAACAGTGTTTCAGGGGCTTAAAGAAGAGCCCACGTGTTTTAGGAGATGAATAAGAACACTCAGAAATGTAGGAGGAGAGTCATGGTTACCAAGGGACAGATGACCTCATTTCAGAATAGGGTTACATGCAACAAAAATAATCAGGTGGGTGAAGAATTGAGACACTAATGTTAAATAAAATCATGAAAATACAGATTCCATCTGGTGCTTGAATTGGCCATTTGAGATTTGTAAGCACATTTGACCCCTTAGTGAAGCTAGAATGTGTCAGAATAGGAGCAAAGAGTGCCATTTCATTCGTTTAGCTAGAGTCAGGACCAGGACAAAGGACAAAGCTTGATTATTTACTCTCACATGTACAGCATACTATTATTTCCCAGAGTCATTTGTAATACTTGGGGAAATGTATTTCCTTCAGGAACAGTCATGTTCTCAAAAGCTAATCTTGTTCAGTCTGCATTCTTATCAGCTAAGTGAGTCTTAAATGAAAATGGTATCTGTAAAGTGATGTTAACTTGTTTTAAGAGGAAGCCAGATATTTTTACGTCCCTTTGGAGTCCTCTGGGAAGTCCTAAGACAGATGCAAGTTCAACTGGACAAGAAGAATTACTTTAATAGTGTGCCAAGAAAATGGCACACATGAAACACATTACGACAGCTTTTTCTGGATTTTTATTTCCTACCTTCCTTATAGGCTGAGAAGTTTGGCGACTCCTTTGTCTTTGAAGGCATGTTGAGTGAGCAGGTGAAGACTGATATTCAACAGGCAGTAAGTAATGTTTCAACAAGCAGTAAGTAATGTTTCAACAGGCTCCTGCATTTCTCTAAGGCTCATTGAAAAGGGTTTGGATGAAAAATCCAAACCACACATGCCACCTTCCTCTCCCACTAACACCTAACCATTCTCCTGTTGAGGGTTGGCCCCAAATAACAGGACCATGGACCAGTATACCTGTCTTAAGGAAAATGGCACAACATGATATCTGAGGAAGTGCTGGGTCTGTCTTGAGCTTCTGTCTTGTGTACCTAGGAACATACTGCGTAGGTAGGTAGAGCTCAGTAGGCTCCAGACACTCCTGAGTTTCATTTACTTACAGCCATTTCTAGAATGGAGGGCTTAACGAGAACATTTTAAAATTCTGTTCTTAAAGTCTCAATCTCCTCAGGTGCTGGTGAGGAGATGGAGCTTCCTTTAACATTTTTGAGTTCATAGGATCAGAGTAGCATTCAAGAAAGGAGCCTTTTGTTCTGAGTGTTCATAAGAAATGGATGTGGTAAACTGGTTCTTATACTCAGGGGTGTACCCTCTCATATAGAGGATCCAGGGAATGCAGATGAGGTGTGATTTCTCAGACATCATGGAAACAAATGGTAGAGTAGACTTCCACAAGCATCTTTGTGATGGTGGAACCTGGGATTCTTGTTCCAGACATTTTAGCACGTATGTTTAGTATTTGCTTGCTTACTTGTCTCTTGAACATATAAAGAACAAGGGAAGGAGTGAGGGTAAGCTGGGAAGTTGAGGGTTCACAAAATAAAGAGGGCAGAGAATGCAGAACAGACAGGAGATAGTGAGAGAGGGAAGGAAACAGGGGTCGGCCCACTCAAAGGAGGCTGATGAAGCTAGAGGCATTGCAGACAAAGGAATCAGACCCTTTTCAATGGAAGTTTCCTTTTAATTCCTGTTTGTACTTCATCTTTATGGGTGGGCCTCACACTGTCCTCTCTTGTGAGCAGCAGTGCAAGAAAAATTAAACGGTCCTGGCGTACGTTTTCTTTTTCTTAAAACTAATGTAGAAAAACTTGGGAGAAAGGATAAAACAAGACTTGCTTTCAGATCATATATAGGTGAATCAAGCCACTTTTTAATATGTGTTTTAGATAAATGTTTGAAAACTGTGATTGAGCTCCTTTTGAATTTCACAGCTTTCTTTGCTCCTTACAAGTTTTTAAGTGTCTTATGTAATCTGATATTGCCCCACTACTTTTTTTTTTTTTTTTTTTTTTTAAAGGGCTTTGAGGTCAGTTTAGGCTAGTGTTGATGAGCCAGCAACTTGGGACCTGGTGCCTCATTTTAAGATTCCGAGTTCAGGTGAGGGAGGGCGTTTGCACTTATTTTTGTAATTTGCATTTTCAGATACAGGGCCTCTTGTCACTTGAGAACTTCCAAACATATTAGGCATGAAGACAGAGGTGGATCATTGCTAGGTTCTGAAGGTGCTGTTGAGTACATAGGGAAGTGTCTGTGCTTGTTACTAGGATGAGGACAAGCAGCTCTCACTGGGTTGTAGTGTCTGTAACTTGCTTAAATGCTCATAATGGAAAAGCAAACCTTTTAAGCTTATTTAGAAAGGGCTGAATGAATAACATAAATCTGTCGATGATCTCGGAGAGCTAAGTTTTTGTTTTTTTCATCCTCCTCTTAAGGCTTGACTTACCTTCATTCACTGAACCAGACCTTTTTTTTTCTTTGTAACCCAGTGTCTCCAGAAGAGTAGGATATGAGCTGACCCGCAAGGTAGATTTAAGTAGTAGGGGGGATGATTTGGATGGTAGATAAGCAAGCCTCCAATCACCCTGAATCACATAGTGAGAAAGCACTTTCCTTTTAGGTATCTTTCAAGACTTGATTCACTGTAAGACAAAAGACTCTTTTGAGTGCTAGCATGTCCTTAACACTCAACTACACCTGCTATTGTCCATTTTAACATAGAAGAGGCCTTGGAAGTGTCTGCAGCAGCTAGTTAATAATACTGTTTATTTTCATGCAATTATTTTTAAGTGTTGCATTCTATTTATGATATGTTATAAAAGTGAGATAAATTCTCCTTTTTTTTTTAAAAAAATCTTTTTTTGTAAAATAAGACAGATACAGAAAATTACACAACACAAATGCAGAACTTACTTAGTTATCCTAAGGTGAACGCACTTGTAAGCATTACCCAGGTCCAGAATTAGAATTTTCCTGCCTACCCTAACAGTCCCATCCAGGTCACCCCTGTCTGTCTCTAAAAGTAGCCACTACTTTGCTTTTCAAAGAAGATATTTCTTTGCATTTCTTTATAGTATTACTATCCAGGTGTACATCCCATGTTTAATCTTTTTTTTTTTTTTTTTTGTGGCGGAGTTTCACTCTTGTTACCCAGGCTGGAGTGCAATGGCACGATCTCGGCTCACCGCAACCTCCGCCTCCTGGGTTCAGGCAATTCTCCTGCCTCAGCCTCCTGAGTAGCTGGGATTACAGGCACGCACCACCATGCGCAGCTAATTTTTTGTATTTTTAGTAGAGATGGGGTTTCACCATGTTGACCAGGATGGTCTCGATCTCTTGACCTTGTGATCCACCCGCCTCGGCCTCCCAAAGTGCTGGGATTACAGGCTTGAGCCACCGCGCCCGGCCCCCATGTTTAATCTTGCCAATTTAAAGGAAATTTGTATGTTTTAAGACTCTTCTAATCTACAGGTTTCTTTTTCATTACACTGCTTTCCCCTATCCCTTATTTTTTCCTCCAGTGATTTATCTATTGAAGAATCTAGAACATTTAGCTTGGAGACTTTCCCACAGTCTGGATTTTGCTGAATGCCCCGTCATGGTGCAGTTCATCTGTTCTCTCTGTCCTCTGTATTTCCTGCAAATTGGTAACTGGATCCTCAGGCCTGATGAGACTCATGTTTAAACTCTACAGCAAGACATCAGATTATTGGTGGTTTCTTTCCCCATGATACACCTGATGTCTGCTACTGCTTTTTATGACGTTAGTGGCTGTTGATGCTTAGTGCCTAATCCATTAATCTATTGGAGGTTGTAAGATGGTATATTAGTCTCTTCTCATGCTGCTGATAAAGACATACCAGAGACTGGGTAATTTATAAAGAAAAAGACATTTAATGGACTCACAGTTCTACGTGACTGGGGAGGCTCCACAATTATGGCTGAAGGTGAAGGAGGAACAAAGGCACACTTTACATGGTGGCAGGCAAGAGAGCATGTACAGGGGAACTGCCCTTTATAAAACCATCACATCTCATAAGACTTCTTCACTATCATGAGAACAGCACAGGAAAACCCACTCCCATGATTCAGTTACCTCCCACTGAGTCCCTCCCATGACAGGTGGGGATTCTGGGAGCTGTAACGCAAGATGAGATTTGGGTGAGGACACAGCCAAACCGTATTAGATGGTGATAATCTAATAGATCTTTTTCATTTATTAAGGGAGATACTTTCATAAAGAGATAATTCCTTCCATCTGCTATTTCTTAACCATTGTTGCAGGTGATACAGGAAAGATAGGATAAATGCTTGTTTACTAGCTTTTAGGATATGAATTGGTTCCCTACTATTCTTCAAAGGTGACCAATTCGAGTAATTTTTGATTAAATATTTCATCTTAAGATAATTGTATTTTCTTATGCAGTTGTAAAAAATAATACAGAGATCTGGTGTACCCGTTCCCCGCTTTCCTCCGTTGGTACCATCTTATATAACTGTAGTATGGTTTCACAGCCGGAAAATTGAGCATTCATATGACCCACTTGTTTTTGTCTGATTTCACCAGTTTTGTATGTATTCATTTATGTGTCTGTGTATATATTTAGATCTGTGTAATTTTACCATAAGTGTAGATTTGTATAATCACTGGATTTTTAAAAAAGTCTTCATGAACTCATGGCTTTAAATATACTTAATGGCCAGTCATGGTGGCTCATGCCCATAATCCAAGCACTTTGGGAAGGCAAAGCAGGATGTTCGCTTGAGTCCAGGAGTTCAAGACCAGCTTGGGAAAGAGAGAAAGACCCCATCTCTACAAAAAATACAAAAAATTAGCCAGATATGGTGGCACATGTCCATAGCCCTAGCTACTTAGGAGAATGAGGTGGGAGGATCACTTGAGCCCAGGAGTTTGAGGTTTCAGTGAGCTGTGATAGCACCGTTGTATTCCAGGCTGGGTGACAGACCCTGTCTGTGGGAAAAACAAAAACAAACACATGTTTTATGAGGTTTTTTTTTTTTTTCATTTTTTAACACTGAAACCATGATCCCTTTTGAAGGTTTGGGCATTCTTTTTTTCCAGCAGCTTTATTGAGATGTAATCTAAATACCATCAATTTCACCATACTAAGTGTATAATTCCAGATTTTTTTTTTTTAATTTTTTATTTTTTTGAGACGGAGTTTCGCTCTTGTTACCCAGGCTGGAGTGCAATGGCGCGATCTCGGCTCACCGCAACCTCCGCCTCCTGGGCTCAGGCAATTCTCCTGCCTCAGCATCCTGAGTAGCTGGGATTACAGGCACGCGCCACCACGCCCAGCTAGTTTTTTTGTATTTTTAGTAGAGACGGGGTTTCACCATGTTGACCAGTATGGTCTCGATCTCTCGACCTCGTGATCCACCCGCCTCGGCCTCCCAAAGTGCTGGGATTACAAGCTTGAGCCACTGCGCCCGGCCAATTCCAGATTTTTTATATAATACAGTTAAACACTAGAAAGTTCCCCATTCATACAACTCACTTATTTTGGGGTTGTTTCAGAAATTTATCTGTATCACCACAATCTAATTTTAGAACATATCTATCAGCCCTAAAAGAAACCACAAGTCCATTTGCTGTCATTGCTGATTCCCATCCCCAGCTTTAGGCAACTGTCTTGAGTCCTAGTGGTGACCCTGGTAGTCCTTCATGGCTTCATAGCTTTGCTTTCTGTAGTGTCAAGATCTGTTCCAACCCCTACTCCTAACCCTTTAAAGCTGTTTCTTAAGAAGCTCAAGTA